CTTCTTAGGATTTTGGCAGTTACCAAGCTCCCCAGGGATGGATACCTGGCTTTGCTAACACTGAAATTATTATTTTCCTCACCTCTTTTCTTTTTTTTCTGAAAAAAATATATAGGCTGGGTCTCTGCGATCACTTGGCAGAGAACAGGGGAGCAAAGGGAGAGATGCTCTCCAAATGTCCTCCCGCAATGATCATAGTTAAAGCTTCTGTCTGACCTGCCCTTAATTGCATTTGGTTTATTACGCACTTGGAGTCTCCAGATTCTCTGACAAGGGACAGTCTGAGCCGTCTGCACTGACGCCACCAGCTCTGTCACATCATTGCACCATCAGTACAGCCACAGGGGACATGAGTGACCTCGCTCATGGTGTTGTCAGAACATGGCCCATGATGGTATCTCAGTAGCTCAAGAGCAGCCACCTCTCCGGTTGGGCTCTCCTGGTTCCTCACCCAGCAGATGGCACAGGAATGTCCCAACCACTGCCCGAGACCCCCCGAGCATCCCTGCTAAGTGCACTCAGCCAACAAACCCAGCAGCACCACCTCAGCTGTGCCAACCAACCATTCAACCCATAAAACAACCCATTCCAGGTAGCATCCAGCTGGAAAGGGGTTGGCTTTGCAAACTTTAACTTGCCACGTCACTGTTGAGGTAGAAAGCAATCAAGCAGAGGTAGAAAGCAATCAAGCAGCAGTCATGGTTCTCAGCACTCAGGGAGGGTTTACATTGCACTGGCAGCATGATGGGCATTTTTTTTTTTTTTGAACAAAAAGTCTTTAAACGAAGTAATTGCCAAGCGTCAAAATATTTCTCAGTTATATTAAGGGCCTTTAGCAGCAGTAATTCAACTGTGAAGGAACCTGATGCAGGCAAAGGACCACACAGCTGGAAATTTGTGCCACAAAGGCACCGGTTTATGGCTGTTTAGCTGTTGGCCTGTCTACGTTGTAAAGCTGTTAAACAAACACAGCCCTTGGCTCATACCACATGTTGGTGAGGCACAGTGTTTTGGCAGGAGCGGGCTGACAGCAACAGAGGGGCTTCAAAGTTTCTGGGAAGAAATGGAAATAAGGAGAGAGGAAAAATTCTGATGAAGGAAGAGATGCGTATTGGCGTTGTGGGAGAGGGTGGTCTCAGAAACAGCGTGTAGGTTCAGGTGGATTTGCATCCTCCTCTCTTTTGGCATGGGTTGCAATTGCCATGCACGTCTGGAGCCTATGCATCCTACTGCTGTCACAGCTCTTGGTTGATAGACCCTTAAATCACTCTCTTGCAGGAAGGTGATATTTAAGGGAAGCCCAAACATAGCTTTTGATTATATTGATAGCTTGAATGGGGAAACAAATATCCCAGGAGGACAGGCTATGTGCTGCAGACTGCATATCCTTTGCCACGTATTGCTACAGGTCAAAGCGAGCTCCGTTAGTGCCACGAGATGCTCCAGGAGCAGCCCCAGCCTGGCAAGCACAAGCTGAGCCATCTTCCTAATGGAGACGTAGCAAATCTCTGGGGAAGAACTAAAATACACTTGCTGAGCTCAGTGCTCAAAAAGTCAAAGAAATGGGGAAAATCTCCACAAAAAAAAAAAAAAAGAGAAGGTTCCTGGCTATTTCTTTCTTATTTCCTTCCATTCTCTTCTAATGGTCGATGTTTATTTCTCTGGCTCAGAAGCTGATCTTAGGAGGCAGGAACTGCTGGTCCTGCTCTGGGGGTGTGCCGTGGAAGATGTATCCAGCTGTGCTGCCTGCAGCCGCCTGTCCAGGACAGACAAGTCCAGAGGCTGCTGCTGTGAGCTGTTTTTCTGGGTTTAGAAGCAGTTCTAAAAGAAAATCAGTGACTCTTGATCATCAGGATTGCACCAAACAGAGGTGGACAGGGTGGGCATCCCAGATTGGTGGGGCTGTTGCCCTGTCCAAGGATCCCACCCTCCAGCAATACTTGAGTTCCTGAAGCTTTCCAAGAAATTTTGTCCTGGCAAGAGCAGCGCCTTTGCAACCAGCTTTGTGTTAGGACTTACCCAATACCACCAAACTGCATGTGTTATGCTCTTTTCTCTGCCAAATATTGACTGTGTGGGGCTTTCCATTGCTACCAGACAGACCAAAGAGAATTACAGAAGTTGTGGCTCTGGCATTGGTGATAAAAAGGGAAGCTGTGGTAGCATCGCTGGCCTCTCTTGCAGCATTTCCTCCTATTTTCTCCATGAAAGCTCTAAATTCTGGAGTCTAGTTTCTGTATTTTGTGTGGGGTTTAGCACAACTTCTCAGCCATGAAGGGATGTTGCAAGGCTTGACTCCAAACGGTTGGAAAGCAACGAGCCAAGTAGCAAGAACTAGTGTTGGATGTGTCTTCATTCAGGTGGTGGTTTGTGTGTGGCACAACTTGATGTTCTTTCGGACCAACTCACTGATGTGTGCCCATGCCCTAGTCCTGCCAAGTGTCTGCAGAGAAACAGCTCAGTGTTAATAGGAAGGCGCTAATGGGGTGTTTCCCACCTAGGGCTAGCAAAAATGTCCCTGAGTTTGTTTCCCGATGATTTGAGTGATCCATTTTGAGGAGATGGACTAGCGAATTATTGCTGCTGCCTGGTGAAATTGGGTTTTTTTTCTCTCTCCCTGATGGACACAGCTCTGCTCTCTTGTGTTTTTTTACATCTAAAAGCAGCCATTTTGATGAAAAGTGAGTGAGCGTCTCCTGGATGAAACCCAAATTCTGCCAGCCTTGCACGTTCTCTTACTAAGCAATTTGCTGCTCCGCTGCATTTGGAAGATTGCACTGAAGTTGCTTTCCTGGCACTGGGAGCCAGGTTGAGAATTAGTGCAAAACTAATTTGGTTACAAATCTCAAAGACACCAACAAAAGCTATTTTTAAGCCTTTGAGAAGAACGGTGCGACCCGGACCGTTCAGAGAAAACATCGTAAGGGTTTCTTACCCTCAGCCACCAAATTCTCAAAAATTGTGGCATCCTGGTGCTATTGGCTGCCTGAGATCTAGCACATGCCCATCGCCAATATGCAAAGCCTCACAGGGCTGCGGTCACCTCCCTGGGAGCATCGCAGAGGTCCCAGCACACCACTCAGCTTGCTGCCTCTCTTGGGTTACTACAGATGTTTGCGGCTGTTGGTTCTTCCTTCTTAGGGACATCATGTGCTTCCTCAAACCATATGAACCCTAAAAACTGGTGATTTTTTAAAAAAATAAATAAGGTAAATCTCATAAAAAACCCAAAGTGTCCACAGCCAGGGCAGGACAGTGGAGATCACATCCCCTCCCTTGGCATCCTTTGGTGCAAACTGAGGTCTGTGTCAGGTAATGCAGGACAGCTGGTAATAACCCACATCGTCCCTCTCACCCATGTGGGCTGTATCCAGCTGATGTTGTTCGTGCACCTCTTGAACCTTCGCTGCCTTCAAAGACAGTCGAATGGACACAGATGTTTCAAGGACTACACTTAGACATAGTCCTTCCCTTCCATGGGAGCTGAGCGCTGCGATGGGGAGCAGCTCAAGGTGGTCTCTTGTTCCATGCATCCCTTCTGCAGGTGCCCAGGTGCTCATGCAGAGCCCACCCCAAAAAACTCACCCTTCCAGCCCATGGGATGGGAAGTTACACCTGCACGATTCTCTGTGTAATGTAACTCAAAGCATTTAGCACATTATTGTTGTGTTTATTCCCCCTCCTGTAGGCTCCCAACTGCATTTGGCATGGTGAGAGCAGAGAGACCGCAGGTCCCAGTGCCAGGGCTGATGGCTGACATTTATTTTGCCAGTTTGCTTCAAACACCGTAACCCCCGAGTCCATTCCCTGGATGGTTTGGCCAGGGGCCGCTGTCAGTAGTGCTCGGAAGAATCAATTATAACCTTTTCCTTTGCTAAGGAGTTTCCTACGTACTGGTGAGCAGAAGATGCTGAAAAACAAATCAACCTTGGATTCTCCCTGGGTCTTCCTGGCATTATTCCTGATATTTAAGAAACCAAACAAGTTCCCCTTTGGTTTTATTAGCCTTTCTATCCTGGCATTTAAACAGAGATGGGATTGCCATGGTCGGTATCTACAGACAGACGCTGTGATGCTCTCAGGGGTTTCTCTGAAGGGCAGAATACCCAGGGCACTGTGTCCGAAGCACCTGAGCCCGTCCGAGCTGCTGGAAGGCATTACCAGCAATCACAGTGCACCTCTGTGTGCACAGTCACCCTGCAGATTGTCTCACATGAAGGGACAAAAGGTATTTGGATCCTGGGAGTGCAGCTAAGCAACTTGAGGTAGGAGCAAGGTTGCTCTAAGCCTCAAGACTAGCACTTCTTGGGGTCATCTTAAGCTTCAGTGATGTTTCAGTATTTAATTCTCCCAGATAACCAGTGGGATTTGAGTATTGAACTGATGAAGTGAGCTGAGCATCTCTCGCAGGGATGTCCTGAGCAGCATCCCAGAGCATCCCAGGGCAGAGGGGTGTCGTGTCCATCTGTGTCACCCTGTGCCTAGCAGTGCTTTCTCAGCTCTCACAACTCAAGCGATGATATTCATGTTTCCTCTCTTCTTGGTTTCAGGCATGGAAGAAACGCTGGTTCGTCCTGCGCAGCGGTCGGATGAGTGGGGACCCCGATGTCCTGGAATACTACAAAAATGACCACTCCAAGAAACCTTTGCGTGTAATCAACCTCAATTTCTGCGAGCAAGTGGATGCGGGGCTGACCTTCAACAAGAAGGAGCTGCAAGACAGCTACATCTTTGACATCAAGACCAGTGACAGGACCTTCTACCTGGTGGCTGAGACTGAGGACGACATGAACAAGTGGGTTCGCAGCATCTGTCAGATCTGTGGCTTCAACCAGTCTGAGGAGAACACAGGTACCGTGAGAGCCGTGTCCACAGCCAAGAGCATCTCCTGTCCTGTCCTCCCAGCGGGGCCCAGCTCCTCTTTCAGATCAGACCTGTGGGAGGGGGGTGCAGCCCACCACGAGGCTGGGAGGGCTGGAATGGGAAATGGATGCACACATGGAAAACCTCCATAAGGCCTTCTTACATTTGACGTAGGAAGCAGAGCAGGTTTTGTGCCTGTGAGCCACCTAATTCATTTCCACTCCCCCATAACTGTAGACCTTTGAGTCTATTGTAAGAAGTTGGTTGGGTTTGGGGACTTTTTTAGCTGCAGCCTTTGTCCTCACCCATCACCAAAGCCCCTTTGAGACATGTGGGAACCAGAAGTGAAAATCCCCCTCATTCAGAAGTTTCAATCCCTTGGTGGGGTGGGGGAGAAGCTTTACTGGGACCGTGTCCTTCCCTGCTGTGGTTGTCCCCACTGCTGACAGGCTCTCATGTGAAGGACAGACATGTCCTCCCCACCTGCATCCCTGTCTCCTCCTGGGACCCTCTGGGAAAATGCTGGGAGGGGAGAGGAAAACGCTGTGTGGTTTTGTGCAGTGGTGGGACCTGTTCCACCAGTCATGCTCCACCATCTAAACCCAACTGCACTTTGGCAAGCCTCTGTGGTGAATGCCAGTGAGCCGCCTCCGCTTCACATCAATCCTGAGTGAGATGGGATGCGGGGGGAGCATGGGGTACAGTGCCTGCCAGTCCCATTACTCCTGGTAGCACCTCTGGGCCTCTCTGCTTTATCTCATCCATGGTCCAGTCTCATCCAGGGCACTCCAGTCCCATCCTCTGTCTAGCCTGAATCTGTTTTGCTCCCTCGTGGAGCAGCTGCTATCCGCGGGAGCTGAAACCCTGCCAAGAGCTTGTCAGGCAGGACAGCAAACAAAGCATCACAGCAGCGTGGACGCGATCCTCACTGACTGACGCATGAAACGGGACGTCACCTTGGCAATGGGTGTACAAGTGGTAGAAAGGATCCTTGATAACACCGCCAGTGCGGTCTTTCAGGGAAAGGTCAGGCTAAATAAATTACATCCCATCCCAATGTCAGCAGCACAGTACTCGAGGATCAGTGAAATCGTTCAGGCCCCTTTTTTTAAGAGTTGTTTTGTTGCAGGATTTTCCATTTTGCGTGCGTTCAGCTGGGGGAACTGTTTTTCTTCCCATTTAGTAAAATGAGCTTTCAGCCCAGCGGCAGTGGGATCGATACTGGACTTCAGTGAAATATAAATCTGGGCAGCAAAAGGAAAAACAATCTCCCGCTTGCAAGTACATCTGTCCCAAAGGGCACATAGGGCTCGTCAGGCTGCAGAGATCCGAATGCAATTCCCTGCAGGATCATGGAGTGACATCAGCAAAAGAGGAACAAAAATCCCTATTTGTAACAAAATCACAGCTCTTTAATGCTGTAGGGAAAGTACCCACTTGAAACAGTACCCAGCTGCCAAAGCGTGATTTTCTGAGTCAGACGAGAAAAAGCCTGCAACAGCGAACGCAGCAGATGTGTCCAGATGCTTAGAAAAGAGGGAGCATGAATTATTCAGGGCTGGTGCTTCTCTTTGGTGCTCGCCGAAGCAGTGACCCCACGCTCACCTTTCCTTCACCATCCCTGCTAAGTAACGGCAAATAAATCATCGATTTCCCGAAGTAGATAATGTTTGTTTGAAGGACCCATGGCTGAGAGGTTGAGGGATCGTTGCAGTGTGATGGGTCTTGGGAGTCTTGTCCATCTTGGCTTAGGGAAGCTCTTCACCCATCTTTCATGACGGGTCAGTTGGAGGGAGAAATAAAGAAGTCATGGTAATATTTGTAAATGTTGTGCTACCCCTTCACCTCTTTGAAGCCATGGGTTGATCGGATGGGAGAGGATGAAGAGTTTGCATGAGATTAAGACTGTTCCTGGGTAGAAATAGAGCTCGGGACATCTGGTATTTCTTAGACCTTCATCTCCTCATCCTCAGTCCTCTCTGTGCCTTGTTGTAGCCTCTGCCTTGGAGAATGAGTGAGTCAGTAATTGGATGCACCAAAAAGGGGAGGAAGAGGTAACCATCACGGGCAGGAATAGCTCCATGCTAATTGTAGCAATTAATTAACTAAACCTCCCTCTCCCAGCAGACAGGCAGCGTGGCAGAACAAGATCAGAGACTGCCGGGGAAGCTGCTGTGCACATTTTTCTGGTTGTACTCGTTCCTGAGTGCATGACTGCTTTATACTGACCCAAAAGCCTTGCTGGGTCTGGCCCCAAAGCTGAGCTGTTCCTGCCTGGTTATATTCACATCCTGGTGGGGGAAACACTCCACCCCTGGCAAAGGTGTTCACTACAGGTGCCATCACATGCTGGAGCGCTTCCTGCTTGAAGGGACCCCACATCAGCTGAGCCCCAACCCCCAGTTTGCTCTTAACCCACCGGTGATGGAGGAAAAGCTCATTAGCTTTTGGGGCAGTTTGAGTAAAAGTCTGTTTCAGCATCTCCCTAAGATGATAGGGGAAAAGACGGGTTTCTGGGTGCTTGTCAGCACAATTTAATGAGCAAGCAGGCAACCCAAAAGCAGCTGCACACGGTGATGCAAACCCTCTGCGCCAGCACGGGACCATGCTGGGGTGCTGCCTGCGCTCCCAAAAGGCAAAAAAAGGAAAAGGCAAAGTGAATTTATACCATTTGATGCTTTTTTCTGTTTGCAGCTCGACGGCAGAGCGTAAGTTTCCTGTCGCTTGGTTTTCACATTAGTCCTTCATGTCCTGTCTAGACTGAGGGACTCTAAGGATTAAAAAATAGGATGGAGTTTAGGGCAGTTTAACGTCACGCTACGGTTAGCTGCTGGTTTAGCTGATGGCCAGCTGCATTACACATCTGGTTTGTTGAAAGGAAGCTCGTTTCAGCCTCAGGGACCTAAATGTCAGTGCCGTGGTGGGTACTGCTGCTGCCCCGGCGCCGCCAAGGAGCAGCCGCTCCGCAAAGCCACCGCGGTGGCTTCGTTCCCCGCCCCAACCTGAAAATAATTGCAGAGCAGTGTGATTACATCTGCCAGGAGAAGGGAAATTAAATTTACTCTAAGGTGTTTACCCAGACTGCGGTGAAGCTTTTTGTTTCTGTTAACACCTATTTACTTTGAGAGCTAATTACTATTTTTGAACAAGCAGAGCCTTGCAGGATCCCAGCTCCTCTGCAGGTCCAAGGAAGCCGAAGGTGCTCCAGGAAAGTAGATTAGCTCCTGGCTCAGTGCTGCTTTTACGCTGAAATTTGCACTGCTGCCACCTTGGCTGACTCAAGTACGATGGGGGGAGACCTGCCGGGGACCCTGAGCAACGGGCTGTGGGAGAAACGCAGGCGCGTGGGTATTTCAAACCATCTGCATTTTCCCTGCCCTAGTGGGCAGGCAGCCAGGGCTCAGCTGTGAACTGGATTTTCTCATATGCTTTGTTTGTTGGAGTTAAAAAAAAAACACCAAATCCCACTAAACATAACTCGTGTGCCATTAACTCTTTCTGGAGCTCTTGCTTCAACCAAAACCCTCCCCTTGTCCCATTCCCAGTATGACAGAGGTGCAGCTATGGCAGCACAGAATTGAATCTATCTTGAACCAATGTATGTCCCTGCAGTGGTCCTGTGCACAGGTTAGTTATTTTGGAAGGGTCAGTATCTTTATTAACTCTATCCCAATTTACTATGCTGCCCCCAGCACCTCCCTGGAGCTCCACCTCCATCTCCTCTGTGGGTCAGGGTCTCTCACAGGGGCTTGGATTTGTGGGTGCTGAGTAAACACTCGGAGGAGTTTAAGAGCTTATTCATGCACTGCATTAATGCCCCTGTGCTAGAGGTTTAACCCAGCCAGGGAAGCAGGGAATACTGCTGGGTGAGTAAATGTTCTTGCTCTGAGCTGAAGGCTCCCATCACTCAGAGAGGGTGAGCAGGGCGTGGGAAAAGGATGGTGCTGGGTTCTTGCCCCGATGGGTTATGTCTGGCAGTGGTGGCCTCTCCCACCCAGCCCAGGCATGTCATCGTCTTTTATTTTCATCTGGCACTTTATTTTTTTTATTTAATTCTCTGCTTTCTGCCAGGGGGCTGCGGCAGGGCAGTCCCAGACTCCAGCTCACTCCTTGCTCCATCTCCGACACTCAGCAATAGCATTTTGTATCGCGGCTGGGATCAGTCCCCAGCAATCCCAAGGCCTTCACTGTCTCGCTGAACGCAAGTCAGGACCAAGCATTAATGTTTAATAGAGAGCTGAGTGTCTCCCCTTCCTCCTTCAACTCCAGCACAGTTTGCCAGATCAGCCTCCGGACACCAGTTACTCCAGCCCATGAGAGCAAATTTATTGCTTTAGTACTCACTTGACTTGCTTTGGCTGGGGGTCCCGTATGGATTGCTGGCTGATTGCTCCCCAGCCTGCTGCCTGCTCACACAGGCTGCCTACCAGTCAGTACTGTGAGCCCGTATGGCTGCTCTTGCTTCCTCCTCACTTCTCCCCCAAAACCATGTTGGTCCCAAGAACAGGCCAACGACGCCTCCTGCTCCATGGGTGTTTGCCAAGCAAAGGAAGGCTGGAGGAAAGAACAGCAGAAAAATAACCCTGGAGACTTGTTGGGAGGACAGGAGCTGCCCAAAAGCTCAGCAAAGAGGCTGCGGGTACTAAGACTAGAGTAAAAACATAAATTTGTACATTGTGCACCACACACCTCCCCCAAACACCCCCAAATCACCAGTTTGCCATCCCTGCATGCAGGAGTGGGGCGCTGGGGAGCTCACACAAGGTAAAGGCTCTGGGGCAGCCCCCACATTCCCACTGCTGATGCCTCTCCCATGGCCAAGAGGAACCCAAGCAGAGGGGAAACCCTAATGGCCACCACAACACCAGGTATTTCCTTGCTTTTGTGCCCGGCACACGCCTCCTTCCTTCCCTGCTTGTGCCCTGGAGGAATTACAAACCCAGCACCATGCCGGAGAGCCTGCCGGGGGCTGAGGAATGAGGGCTGAG